TTTTTGGACAGGCGTTCGTTAATAAAAATTGAAGACATACATTTAATGCTCTACCTTTCCCCTGTCTCGAAGACTTGTAACTGAGGAGCAGGGCAGGGATCGGTATCTAAAGAGAATGTATCAGAAATTTGATGTCTGGTTATTAATTATTTGAATTTATTTTGTATTTATCGTCAAGATTTGATGCTATCAATATAATTAGGAGTAAGAGCGAGGACAGATCTAGACACACAAATTTATTAAGAACATAAGATTTATAATGGTATTTCCAAAGACACATGTGTTACAATTTTTATAAATTCAAATATATATGTATATTCACTTTATATATTTTTTTAATCAAAAGAATTATTCTTTTAAATCTTTTTCTTCCAATCTATTTAAGGTTGTAAACATGCATATATATTTCCGAAACAAAGTATACGATAGAAATACTTATCCAACGCTAAAAGTTCATCAATAATTCACATCATTTGTTATGCATATTTTTTCTGGTTGGTAAAAATGATTTATTTTTAATGAAATGCAATGATTTTTGAAATGTCATTAATTTTCTCTACCACGAATACCTAATAATATACACTCTTACATTTCTGCACCGATTTAAAACAATGTATATGAGGAGAATTTCTTACGCAAATGCTGATGTGAGAAAACTATAACATTTATCATAATTTAAATTTCTTTCGACAAGAAGAAGAATTCCAGAATATATCTATTACAGTAATTTTTCACGCCCAAATTGGAGCTAATTTTAACTAAGCAAGAAAAATAAAAACGAATTAGAACCAATTATATCGAAGAAGTGAGTTTTGCACGATTTTTAACTAGTTGGCATTTTCAATGCTAGAACCTGACGTTAAAAACTTTGAAGTGAAATTTTTCAAATAACTTGCAACGAATTTGGAAATTAAAAACAAAGCATATATATTAATTGAATTTATCAAAAGTTGCGGTGGCCCCCCTTTCTATACGAACAGCATCTTTTCACATCTACGTAAACAATTATATCGATGATGTATTCAGTGGTTTACTTCCGAGAGAATTCGTCACTTTCCGGATAATATCGCAAAAGACTTTCAATGAGTTTGTTTACTTCGTCGCTGATCGGCATTTTCCGTAGGTTTATGTATTATCCACGTCATTACACATTATTAAACATTTCCTTCGTTCTTATGCCTTCAAGTATTTGACCTTGGATAACTTGAGTGGCAGCTTGTATTTGAGCCAACCAAAACTATGAGTCAAACAGCATGCTTTTAATTGGACACCCTCCAATTAGCGACTGATATTTTTCTCTAATTTTAGTCACAATTTGGCGAACTAATGGAAATTTGACAAGCTTAAAAATTTCTTTAATTGATAGTTTATATCTAAAAAATTATAAAAGATATATTTACGTTGTTAATTTGACATTTCAAAAATATTATGAAGTGTTTATGTAGCACATTTCCGCCACCGATTTTTAAATGCACAAGTACATGTAATATATTGGGATACGAAACATGTATAGACACCAGTAGAACCCATAGCCTCAGCTCCTTTAATTAATTAAGAGCACTTGCCGTGTAAGTTTCGAAGACTTGACAAAAATAAAATTGATAGCTTAAATGCTTATTTCAGACATAAACATGTATAGTTTGATGGATCGAAAATATTTTTTTTTTAGCGCGGGTGTACTTGTTACATTTTTTTAAGCCTAGAATATTGAAAAAAACATTTATTCTAAACAAATTTCAATATTCAAATCTAAATGTATGTTGTAAATTTTTGTACAAAAAGGTTTCCAACTTCAAATATTGATTCTAGCATTTTCTATCTCATGTTTTTCCCAGTTCATACTCAGCATATATGCAGAATTTCATTCTTCTCAATTTCTTTCTTTTATCAATAATAAATCGCCATCGTTTTATACAACTTAAAATAGGTCTGTCATCTACGGCACACAACCAATAATATTGAATTGAATGTTGAAACTTGTTTCATATATAATTTTTTAAAGGATTTTCTTTCTTTCTTTTTTAATCTTTGTTGTACTTCTTGAAATTTCTACTGTGAGTTAAATTTAAGACGACAGTTAGAATTAAATAATCCTAAGCATATATAACACTTTGAAGCGATTCATTTGTTTTATAAAAAATGTTAGCTTTCACACACGATCTAATATAGTAAATTTACTTTGAGGTCACTGTGACCACAATAGGTAACTATGACATCATAGGAAACACAGCACTACAAGTTTCGATACATTGGGTTAAAATTTTCAAAGAAAGTTTTTGTACGCTTTGATTTTCAGTACCTATATAACAGTGTGTTATTTGGTGCTGTACGCATCTGGTTGATGGCTTAATCACAGTTAAACTTCCCCCAAAAATCAAGATCAAGGTGATAGACTTTCTTCAGTGGCTAGTATACTTACTCATAATATAAAAAGTAAGCTTTGTTAGTCCTGGTTTGCTGGGGGTCATTCGAAAGGGAAGGACAGGTTAGAAGAGTGAGGGGGGCGGATTAGTAATAGCTGCACCACACATGTTATTTATCGTTAACCCTCTAATCGATGAGCCAGAGATACGTGTATGTATATTAAAAAAACAATAGCTGTAGCCTTCAAGTAGGAACCCCCGCATATATCAGCTTAATCTAATTGGTGAATATGGCGCAATACAAGTGTTCGGAAAATATATCGTTCGTACGGAAGAAAGAAATGAGGAAATATTGTTAAATAGTTAATTGAATTAAATGTGAATTAGAAATGCAGTTGAGGAGTATTTGTTTTAATCGATAAATAAATCTGAATTTTAATACAATACTGTCATTTTATTACGCAAGTGTCTGAGAATGATTGAAAATTCAATACAATAGTATTGAACTCTTCAACTTGAAACCTGCAAAATAACAGGTAATTTAGAGCTACCCTACTTGACTTTTGAGGGTATATGATTGACCTGAATTAAGTTATCCCTTCCTTCTTGGGGGGCATCTAGATCGAAGAATTCACACAGAGACTTTGCGGGAGGGAGAAATTTCTTGCGAAGAAAGTGCAAATGATATACTTCAGCTGATAAAAGTGCATGAAATATACAGCAATATTGTCCATGAAATATACAGTAATATTGTCCCAAATTTTAAAAATCGTGCACAGAGAGTGGCTAGATTTTTTAAAATTCATTTTAGGAATATCCAAAACAGGAATCTAAAGAGGGATGTTATTTATGCGCGGGTGTAAATGAAGATGTTAAAATTAAAAAAAGTTCAAAATTCACCAAAGCATCGCCTATTTTTGCTTCCCTTGTAATCAAACTATGGAAGATACATTTTCCGGTTCATAAATTTCCACATCATGTAAACAGGCATGATATCTTGTATAGCAAATGATAAATACTTTCAAAATCAATTAGTCACCATCAAAGTTTTTATTGTATTATTTATAATCATGATGTAACAGAATATAAAGTTTCAACGAAATGGATATATATAAAACAATCGCAAAGCTCAGTCTCGAATAACTATTGATTTTTATATTGATTGCACGTATTGGACTTAAACAACTGTAGGTATGATTTCTCGATTCAAAATTGTGAATATGATCTAATATGAATCAAATCTCTTTAATTAATTTAAGATTTTATATATATATTGAGACATTTTATCGATTAAATTCAATCATAATGAATTTTGTAATTTTGAAGAAACGAGTCTTTATAATATTATTAGAATTTTTTTTTTTCAAATTGAGGCTCTCGTCTCTATAAAAAAAAGAATCATACTATTGGGGTAAACTTTAATGAAGAAACAAGCACTCATGCTTTTAAACAAATTTCGATGCTCGATCTTTTTTTTTTAAATGATTTTTTTTTTAAAGAACAAAACTTTAAACTCCAGAATAAAAATCACGAGAAGGACTCTGACCTTGGAATAAACAGAAATAATCATTTACTATTTTTTTTTAATAAAAAAAAAAAAAAATCAAAATTGAAATCAAAGATTCATAGATTTAATAAATTAAATAGTAATAAAAAATTCTATCGCTCTAAAACCATTGTGACAAACCGTTGTCCAAAATGAATAAAAACTCGAGGAAAGAAATCCTAAACAACGAGGATACTTATCGTTTACGCACACACACTTGTACATCCCGGCGTGAATAACACAACTAAGCAAGAATACAAAAAGGGCCACCAGTCGTTCTATAGTATTAAAGAGAGCGTTAAGTCCCATTCATGCTCATATGAGGGCGGCGCTTCTATAGCTCCGCCTCTCGTTAAAGCGAAAAATATAAATTCAAACACGAGTTCGTAAATGATCATACTCTGCAATAGAGACAGTAAGTTTCACATCACTAAAAAAAATAACAAACTTGCAGTCTTTTAGAACATGTGGACTTAGTTTATATTTGTGCCTTTTGTATCTTTTTCTAAATGGACTTTATTTTTTTTGGTCTACCGTGGGATCTTTATTTCACATGATCTCGCCGGCTTGTAGTAGTTCTTGACAACACGTGCCGTTTTCCTATTACTTTCATTTTGTGCGGAACTGTGCTTTTACCGTTAAGTTTTTTGTTTTATTGTTTGGCAATAAGGACTCTTAGCTGATATATTCTTTTTTTTTCATTTATTCATTCAATAGTCGATTTGTGAGAGGCGGTCACTAAATGTAAACATTTCCTCGTGCTTCGAGTGGCTCTTTTATTTCCGGGGTTGTCTTTTGGAGAGTTGTGTAAGGGGAATTTCTATATCAGCACAGTTCCACTCATTTCATGAGTAATATTTGAAAAATGTCATTCGCTTCTATTATTAGGGAATAAAAAAGTCCACATGTCTAAGCTATAACTGCATTTTAATAACGAGATAATCCCCTAGTACGATTTTCGAATACTTTAAAGGATCATATTTGTAAGATTAATTAGACGGTCATCTTTCCATTGCCTAAAGTTTATATATAGTGCCTTAGTAACTATGTGATGCAACAATGTATTTATTCTTTGATTTCTTTGTTTTCAGGTATATAAGGAATAAAAAAAGGTTGTGAATTCAACAGGTTGTAAATTCGTCACAAAGGAAATTATCATACGCATTTGAACTTTATTTTATTATCACGGATTTACTTTACAAGAGACTTTTCTGAATCAAAGAAGAAATCAAGATGATACCAATTTCAGTCTACATTGGTGTATTAGTGGTGCTGACAGTGGCGGCTTACTTTAAATTCCTATTTAGGATACGGTAAGTAAATTATCTCTGTCTTTTTTTCCCTCTAAATATAGGTATTCTATATTTATTTTTGGTTCTTCAGGTGTTAAATGTAATGCTGTCAGAGAGCTTACTCACATTTTATTAAAGATTTATGATTTCAAAACGCTGTCATTTCAACAAAGACTAGTTTTTGCTTGTCAAGTCCAGGGCAACTGACATTATATTATAATCAGAACGGAGGCTTAACATTTATCTACATAAGATTTCTACAATATTCAGCGAACTTCAAACTATTCATTTTATGATTTTGTATGGTTTTTCAGGAAAGAAAACGAACCCCCAATTCCAAAGGGCCACTTTATATGGGGAAATGGTGAACAGTTCCACAGAAATGCCGTTAAATTCCTACACGACACACAGAAAAAATTAGGAGACATTTTTACAATTCGTCTTTTTCATCAGCATTTAACAATCCTTATGGACCCCCACTCATATGAAAGAATGGTCAAGGAGAAAAACTTTGATTTTGATGCAATTCAGCGACAGGTTAATCATAATGTCTTCAGCTTTGCCCTCGTAGATGCCCGTAACATGATCAAGGAGGCTGGCAAAAGAGTCAGGGGACCATACCTCAACAAGGGAATGAACCAATATGCCAAATACCTCAATGAGGCTTATGTCGATGTCAACGAAAGAACCGAAATGGATGCACTGAAGCCTGAATGGCACACAGATGGACTTAGATCTTTTAATGCTAAAACCCTGTTTTCTGCTCTGTTCTTCACAATTTTTGGTAAAATGGACAAACAAACTCCATTTGAGCCCAATACCGTATTTAAGCACTTCGATACTTTTCACAAATACTTCAACTACCTCTGGCTCGGAATGCCGGCTAACATGTTCCCAGAAGCTCTCAAGTCTCTGAAGTTTCTTTGCGATCAACCAACTTCCCAAGACTTTCTCCAGAGAGACGACCTGTCCGAATACATTCGATTTTCCGTGAATTTCATGTTGGAGCACGGCCAGACAGAGCAGGACATTATCGGACACAATCTTGTGTATCTCCACGTCAACTACAACACGTTCAGAATGGCCTTCTGGGCTATCTACCACCTGATGGAGCACCCCGAGGCTTTAGAGGCTCTGAGAGAGGAGGTCCGGACAGTCATCGAAAAGAGAGAGGACAACGTCAACGAAGATGGTGAAGTGGAACTCAGTCTGGATGATGTGGATCGGCTACCTATTCTTGGTAAGTCATTGGATTGTAATACTTGATCGTTTCATTTTAAATAGCTTCAGATTTTTTTTAATCTCTAGAATTATTTCAAAGATGTGTACTTATGACTGATTTTTGTAATTACAGACAGCATTACTAAGGAAACTCTGAGGGTGTCAGGCGGTGTGTTCATGGTCAGGGCTGTTGCCGAGGACACCGAGTTTGAGACAGAGGATGGCAAGAAATACAGTCTACGAAAAGGAGACAAAGTAGCCATGTATCCCCCGGCCATCCACAAAGACCCCGAAATTTTCGAAAACCCTGACGTAAGTGTGATATTAACTTTGCTGTCATTAAAATACACTTACAAAAAAAAATTCTGATACATGCAAATGAGATACTGTCTGTTGAATGACATGAGTAATGCATATCTAATAAATCTTTCGTTTTGTCTCTTACAGGAATACAAATATGACAGATTCGTTGATGCCAAATTTTACAAGAATGGAAAAGAAGTCAAGAACCCCATCTTGGCATTTGGTTCATTGTGTCCAGGCAAAAAGTACGCCATTTGCCAAGCTAAATGGTTTATGTTGTCTTTGGTGAATGCTTTTGACTTCGAGCTTTGCGAGGGAGAGAAAACACAATGTGATGTAAACTATCACGGACATGAAATTTTACCACCAACCAATGAAGTTCAAATTCGCTACAGATTACGGCAAGGGCATAAGAAATTAGTATTTGTTTAATGGACAATTTTCAGTCGTTCAAGGTTGTGTTTTTATTATTTATTGACCAATGAAAGGAAGCTAGAGGAGTGACCTAAGGTGAGAGTGATGCATGAATGAGAGAGCGGTAGATCGAATGTGAGCTCCATGGTTGTGACACTTTATTTTATGCCAGTAGAACTTACAAAATTATTGTATATTTTGCATAACAGGTCCCAAAAATAATTTTGTCGGTATGTGATATGTGTGTCTGTGAGAGTGTGAATTTCATTTTATCGTTCATTTTGAGATATTTTTTTCATCCCCTCATGTTTTGTTTGCATTTGCTTGAGAGTTTATAGGCATTTAAGCATAATCCCAACTTTCTGTGTTTTACGGGTACATGTGCAAATACAGACTAATAAGACTATGGCAGATTGCCGCGGTAGAATTTTATATTGTTTGAATCTCCACAGTATCGAGTTCGCCAAGAAAATTGAAGAATCTCCTATTATTGTCTCAAGATTGTATTAGAACTCGTAGCAATTTTTGTCCCTTTTTGTGATTAGGAAGGATATTTCAAGTTTTTTGCCAATTTTGTAATGTTGACAAATTGTTGTGATGCCATTGTCGACATGTTTGAATACTTTGCATCAACAAAAACTTTATTTTTGTATTTCATCAATTGACATTTACAATTGTGAACATGTCAATAACAAAACATATGTTGTATATTATTTTTGTCATGCCGCATTTTCGAACATGATTTTATTCATGTTAAACCCATTTGTCTCCATGTTCAACATTTGTAAAATATCATTTATTTATTTTTTAAGTTATTGATAATTTATTTGAACGTCCAATTTAAGATATGTCGAATCCAAGGTGCTTTACAACCCATTCAGGTTGTTACAATTTGTTATAAATAAAATATACAAAAACATATACGTATTTATTTATTTAATGCTGCTGAATAAAGCACAGAGATTGGAAATGGAGGAAAATATCATTGAACCATAGAGGAAAGTACCATTGAACCAGTAGCAAAAAAAGACAAAGCTACAGAGTTCAAAGAATTAGCAAGAGCGACGGAGATGAACATGAAAATTGAAACATGAAAAATAATTATAAGGATAAAAAAATATTCTTATCGAAGTATGGGAAATGATTTACGAGAAATTCAAATAAAAAGAATATAGTAGATAAATCGAAACGGTAATAAAAGGGAAAATAGAAATTGGAAATGGAATTTATCAATATTCAATCGCAGAAATGAAAAGGAGGATTAAAGAGTCTTTTAATTAAGTTGGCCTGCCAATCTATTGTGCAATGTTTATGACAAAATCAAACTGAAACTTTAAAAAATCTGTTTTATAATTGTTGAGGAATGTAATGCATAGCAAAAAAAAAAAAATTAGAATGTATTCTTAGGAAAATTAATTATGGAATTATTTGAAGATTGTTTCATTATATTCTATGGAAATTTCTTTTCATTATTAACATAGCTGCTAAGCAGAATTAGAAATTATCCAGAACAGAGTCAATACATAGTATCTAGGGCAATCAGAGTATAATCAGTTACAGGTGCATTGCTGATTAGTCTAATTATCAGTCAACAATAATGTCCAAAAACCGGGAAAATATTAAACCACATAGACTAAAACAAGCATGTACGAAGCGGACTCTCTCGTGGAGATCTGTTTTTTAAGAAGGCCAGCATCATATAAGGCAAGAGTTATATATACAATACTACTGAATAGAGAGAGTTCTATATAGAGATTTCGAAATTTCATTGAAGTCTTGAATAGTAAAGCTACACTAAATGATATCAACGCTTCCATACTTACATTCATATTTGCTCTATCATGGTGAAAGCTAAACAATACTTTTATTAATCGTAGAAATTTGAAGAAAAAAAAACGCTAGAAGGATGAGGAATTTTTCACCATTGACAAAAGAACTTTATAGTTTTTGAGAGATTTTTATTTAGCAATATTTAAATTTCTAAAAGAAAATGAATTATTAGTAACAAAATAATTTAAAAAAAAAATGTTTGAAATAATCTTAATTTTGAGCATGACTTGATTTCACGTCCGACAACGCGCTAACATTCTAAAGCTAAGATTGAAGTCTAATACTAGTATTTGTTAAAGGAAACAGTGCATCCTGGAAAAGGGAAAGTTAACATTACCTCTTGGTATAAACTTTTAATGGATTCTTTCATTTAAAGCTAAATTAAGAAAATTATTTACAAGGAAAAGAAAATGAACCTTAGCGTTTCCGTATGCACATCAATAAATATGAATAAGTTAATCTATTTTGATTATCTATCAGAAAACGCGGTACTAATCTGCACAATAAGGATACGGTTTTCTGCATATCTTTAATTTTTCAATAAAAAAATAATAATTTCTGCTATATAAAATTAAAATCGTTTATGTCAGATTTAAACAGTGAGCAATCTAATAAAATTCATATTATTAATGTATTATTAACCAAAGATTCAAAAAAGTACATAGCGTTGGAATAATCACAATTCTTACGAGTTTTTGTCACCGATATTTATTAATGCTCAAAAATGTATTTTCTCTATGCACAAAATCATGTTTGAATTCAATAAATAAGTCAAATAAGTCAAAAATATCATGAACATTTGAACATCTTTAAAGCATGGAGAATGTCATTGTTTTTATTAATTCATAAAAGACCTTACGCGAACTTTACAACAATGTAACAGAAATGATAAATTCGGGTCTCCGTTTGACCAAAGTTCTCAAACAGCTAAATTAATTCTGTTAGATACTGGACCGTGATCTTTCACCCAACCTGTATTCGTGAGCAATTGTCCGCGGAGGAATACAATCCTCAGGACTAGTTTCATTTGCTTTGAATTAAATTCTCAGGCAAATGCTACTAATCAATATTAATTACAGAAAGACAGAATCATTTTTATGCAACTTGGGCCATTGTAAATAAGTCGTGTAAGGCTCAAGTTTGTAAGAGTTAACATGTTTAAATCCCTTGCAAGTATTAAGAAATAAAAATAACACATGGCTAAGATTTATCACTGATTGCAAAAATTAAATTAAAGCCTGCATGCTTTGTGATACACCAATGTATCACTTGAGTCAATATAACAAAGATCCAAGTTATTTATATTGATTTTACATAATTCTTGTTATATAAGCGGTACCTTTTTCGATTACTTCATTGCGTCTTATCAGAAAACGTTGATTGGAATTCATTTTGTATATTTCTACCCAAATTTAGACCCTTAAATCTCTCTCGTCTGCATTCCGATGGCGATACGATCATGCAATAGAATTAAGCAAATCGGAACGTCCCCTTAAAGTGATATTGCATACACGTGAAGCATTTCTCGGATTACAACTCCCAGGAATGTTTTAAAGATAAGTAAATGGTCTTCAAAAAAGTGAGAAAGCTATTTGTTTTTGGTAATGACTCTGTCATCAGAAGAGAGCCACAAACAAAAGGGCCTCGACACATTGTATACCAAAATGAACAAAACAATAATAGAAAAGAAATAAAAAGTAAAAACACTCTACGTGCATGAATAACTAGGATCTCTCATATCAAATTCTTTTAATTCTCCACATGGTGCGATATCTTCAAGTTTTCCTTTTTTTCCCACCAAAACACAATTGACTTAAAACTTTCAATTGTTTTCCGTCTCTATGAAAAAATCTAGATTCATATCAGGTAAAGATTATTGATAAAAGAGAGAAAGGCATAGATATTTTGAAAAGATAGGATTGATGAAGATTTTTTTTTACAAGTCTTAAAACCTTGTGAAACTTTAATCAAAACTCATATCTGTCTCAAAAAGACACAACATAAACATTATCCCGCGGCCCAAATACTGGCTTTTAACGGTTAGATTCTCCTCCAATTACAACAAATATGTGGAAGGATAGAAAAAGGTTTGGCTGGACTTATGGAGACCAAGGTTTGGACATCTGGCCCGACGAAGAGAACTAGAAAGCTCATACAATACGTTTATATTGCTCTGTAGAACTGTCAGACATTTATCCAATTACTACTATAATTATAGACGCACAAGAAAGTGAAATGTTTAGAACCTTGACACTTTATCTCTGGTAAAGAATACGAGAAACGCTTTCATTTTATATGAACACAAAATAACAAAACATTATAGAAAAAGAAAAGGGATTTTGTAAATAGATATAAAGTGATAAAGTCATAATTTGTGATTAACATTCATTACTATGTCTTTTTCTTAATTTGTCTATCTATCATATCAATCATGTAGCACTTTTGCCGTGTAAGATAAACTAATTCATGGATTTATGTAGCTGACAAGAAAGTCAAATTGACTTAGTGTTGTAATATTCATATCATTAATGATTTGACGGCTGGGGACAGATATATGAAATGAACTTATGTCTGTCAGATAGTAAATATCTTTAATTGCATATACTTTTCTATGTCATCGAGTGTTAATTACTGGAAGAAAGTCAAAAATTGTGTCAGTTATCGAGGTTTTCCTGATTAAGCGGCTCAGTTTACTGTCAATCTCTTAAGGAACTTGCAGTTGTTTAATCTAAAGACAACTCAGACAAAGCCAAATTCTGTTAATGAGAGTCAAGGGTTGAACTCCAAAAGGAAGAACTACAAGAGAGTACTTCTAAAGTGTCTTTGATCACACTTGAAATATTCATAGAAGTCTTAAATATTGCTTTTTTGTGATTCTTTTATGGCTGTTTTCACACGCTGGAATTTGAGACACGTGGGGGACTGGGCATGTTATGGACCGGTACCAAGCCAGATTGGTCTCTAACATGATATAGCCAGACATATTCTTCATAACTATCCAATAATCAGATTTATTACCTTTCAAATATATGTTTTCAAATTATGAAAGTGTCTGTTTTTAATGCTGGCGGATAATTATTCTTGACAAGGCAAGCTGTCCAAACAGGAATATAAAAATTGAGATAATTTTTGTCCATAGATGTTTTAAAAAGAATTTGTCGTAACGAAGGTGACCTTACAATCGAGTCTGGTGGAATTATAATTAGATAGTGTTAAAGTACAAAAATAATTCATTTAATATTCAAGTGTTTGCTTACTTTAAATGAAAAAATATATTGTTTCAGAAAGGTCAATATATCATAAGACCTTGTCTCATGAATTGTTTTTTATTTATTTTTTTTTCTAAAGGAGGCCTTGTATATCGAAAGGACAACCACAGATGAAATGATTTCCCTTGAAAATTCTTCTTTTTTATTTTGTTGTTTGCTGCAGAACATTAAAATAAAATAAAAAAAACAGCATGTTTTCAAGAATCTCAAACCTGTTAGATTTATAGGGAGAGGGTCATCATTAAATTAAACTTCAAAATAGTTGTTCTCTACGACGAGAGACCGTTTTAAAAGTAGACAATACTTGGCTCAGATGTTCAGGGGTCATTTTAATATATACTAACAATTACTAGTCTTCTGTGCAAGTCTTGAAGGAGTTCCAGAAAATGTGTTTTTCATTTAAAAATAAAAAATACAGATATTTTCAGATGTTCCCATTTTCTGCTTGTTAGACGTCATTGATGTGTTCGATTTTAAGTTTATAAGACAACATTAATTTAACCACGTTTCCTATGACAACAACAGGGACATCTTGCATGTTCTGTGTTAATTATTGAATCTTTGCTATAATTGTAAAACACTTTAATTAGTTTCTCTCTTTCAGTACCTAACACAATTCCTTAGAAATGGAACGTCATAGAAATTTAAACCTTCCTCTTACTAACTTCATCAATTTTTTATATATATGAAAGATATATAAAGTTGTGTAATGTTCAATAATTTATTAATTTCAGGAAGGTATTCTTTAAAATTCTTTATATATTTTTAACAATTCCAACAATGAAAATGAATTTGAATTACAATACTTGGATTCTAAACT